GTGGCACCAAAACTGAATACAAATGTTTTGTACTTTTAAAGATCTTTAAAAAGTGATGTTGTGCCGTACTGATCAGCAGTGTGTCTGTTAAATCTGCTGCTACAGTGTATGATACCAGAGGCTGTGTCCTATCATTGTTAAGTGATGACGTGACGAATCCTACTTCCGGGCCTAAAGTAGTCTGCGTTTAATATGGCTTTTGTGTTGTTAACATGTTTAATGTTTTGTATTTTCTTCTATTTAATCTCAAAAAGCTCCTAAAACAGTCAGTGATCACTGTTGACCTCCCTCGGCTTTTATTACCGCTAATCATTTATTTAAGCTCAGTTTTTAAAACCTTAGGATGTAACTACAGCCCAGCCCATGCAGCAGTATATGAATGACTAACCTCGTATTGTGGATGGATTATCTCAGTTGTTCTCCTGGCTGAAGTTTGGTCCTTTTACAGCATCCTGCCATGCGATTACATTTGTTCCTGACCACCGAGAACACTCACGTTAACTTTTATCGAGTGGAAAAAAAGTTAGCTTGTTTATATTATGCTAACATAGCTGTGTCGCTAGCGGTCACGTAGCACATCATTATATACCAGCTAGCCCAACTTCAGTAACCCTACAAACGTCACTGCTGTTTAGTTTTCTGTCTTCATTTATGTTGGAAGTGATAACAGAGCTGTACGTTTTAATTTGTTTCCAAAACCCCGCAGTCAGGACATGCTATATTGTATTTAGATAGAAGCTAGCGAGCTAACTCCCTGCTAACTTCTAACTCCGTTAAATGTCATAAATTCCGTTTTCATGGATGCCTGGATGTTAAACTCAATTGTTACACCTGGTAGAGCAGAACGCTGATCATTTTATTAAAGATGAAAGACTTTAGACAGTTTTTCAACTCTCAGTAATGCCATAGTGATCGTTTGATATATGGACCTGCAGCGGAGTTTAGGCCCAGACACGGCTAGTGACGTCAGACTTAATGACCGGATACCAGGGGTGCGCAACTCCAGGCCTCGAGGGCACTGCCATACCATGATCGGATATGGGTCGAATAGGGTAAAAAAAAAATCGTATTTCATGCGCTTTCACCTGCAGTGTGAACGTAGCCTTAGATGTGTCCTTGATCCAACACAGCTGATTCAAATGGCTATATTACCTCCTCAACATGTCTTGAAGTTCTCCAGATGCCTGGTAATGAACTAATCATTTGATTCAGGTGTGCTGACCCAGGGTGATATATAAAACCTGCAGGACACTGGCCCTTGAGGCCTGGAGTTGCCAACCACTGTTCTATAGCGTCTCTGACATTATGGCTGTGTCCCAATTAAGAGACCGCACGTTTGAAGTACGCATTTTGAGTGCGATTACGTCACCACCACGCGACGACGGCTGTCCCAATTCGAAGTGTACTTCAAATGCATACTCCAAATGCGCCGTCGATTTCCCCAAATATCAAGCTGGTCCGGTGCACGTTTCGTGGTCCCATATATCTCTATATATATATCTCTCTATATAATACTCTTATATCTATTATATATTATATATATTATAGTATATATTATATATAATATATATATATATAATAATTATAATATTAATATATATATATATATATATCTGACGTCTGTCACAATGTCTTAGGGTGAGTGGCAGGGTACACCCTGTACAGGTTGCCAGGTTAACCAATCCCCACCAACTTCATGTCTTTGGACTGCAGGAGGAAGCCAGAGTAAACTCCATACAGAAAGACCCGGGCCTGATAGTGGAATTGAGCTCAAGACCTTCTTGCTGTGAGGCAGCAGTGCTAACTACCAAGTCCAGCATAGAGCGGCTTAGTGAATGTGGTCTGGACTCTGTGGAGGAGGGCCATGGTGTCAGAGACGCTGTAGAAAGAAAGAACACCTGCTCTAGGATCCACGTACACTCCTATTTTGGAGGACAGAGGGCCTGAGAGGGGAGTTGTGATTTTATTGTGACTGAATTTGTAGCTGTCACCGTAACACTCTAATGCCCAGGATTTATTGTTACTTCCAAAATCACTTTGATCCAGTTTATTTTTATTCTTGTACGTCACGGCTACTGAAAGGCCTTTCCCTTTCCTCTCCACTTCCCAGTAACAAGGTCCAATCAGACTCTCCTTACTCAGGGCCTGCTGGTTGTTGGAAAACCTGTCCCTTTTTTTATATCCAGGATAGATATTTGGATTTGGAGCACTGTCTGATACGGTTCTGTTCTGATTAGACAGGAAGAGATTTTTGTGGACTGTATCTGGGTCGATCGTCAGTTGACATGAATGTTTTAAAAAGTCATCTCTGGTCTTAGGTTCAATTTGTGGCAATAAAACATCCACTGATCTCACTGTCAGGGTGATCTTCCTCCATTCCTCACTTAGAAATGCTTTGAGATTTTCTCTGGCTTCTAACATTGCTGTTTGCAGATCCTCAAAGTACTTAACTTGACACATTTTAAAGCTTGGTGAATCTGTATATTCACTGAGTTTTGACATCATGGAGTAACTTAGTAGAAATTCGGTGTGGTCCTCTGTGCGTGAAAGCTGCTTCAGCTCCTCTTCTTTCCTCCTCAGCTCAGTGATCTCTTGCTCCAGATTATTCTGAAGCTCCATGACTCGACTCTCTTCAGTTTCCTGCTGGGATTTGATCTGCTGCTTTAGATTTGAGCCTTTTTCTTTAATGTAACTCAACAGCTCATCGATGATGGCATCACTGTCTTCAATTGTTTTATCAGCAGACAGTTTGATTCCCTCCATCTCTTTCTCAAGCACTTCACCTTCCTCCATTCTGGTCTGAATTTTCTTCTGGACTTCCTGCAGATTCATCTTAAGGTCTTTGTCTTTTTCTGCCCTTTCAACTTCAACTGGAACTGTTACATGGCGTTTATGTTTGTCCAGGCAGCAGACATAACAGATACACTGCTGATCAGTACTGCAGAACATCTTCATCACCTCATTATGAGTTGAACAGATGTTCCCTTTCAGCCTGTTCGATGGTTTGACCAGCTTGTGTTTGTCAAAGGCAGAGGAGTCATAGTGAGGCTGGAGGTGTTGCTCACAGTAAGAAACCAAACATACCAGACAGGACTTCACTGCTTTCAGCTTCTTTTCAGTGCAGACATCACAGGAAACATCTTTAGGTCCAGCATAGCAGAGATCAGCTGAAGCAGGTCGGATTGCAGGTGTCTTCAAGTCCTCTACTAACTCTGCTAACATAGTGTTTTTCACCAGCTCAGGCCTCGGTGCAAAGACTTTTCTGCACTGAGGACAGCTGTAGGCTCCTTTTGGTTCCTCTTTATCCCAGTGTCTTTTAATGCAGCTCATACAGTAGTTGTGTCCACAGGGAATAGTCACCGGCTTCTTCAGTAGATCCAGACAGACTGAACAGCAGAGTTTTTCCTGATCCATTGTCTGTCCTGTGTGAATGTCTCGTGTGAATCTTTGTATGTGAAGGTTAATGTCAACCAGTTTTACTGTGGAGGGAAAAGTGGTGTGTATCGGGTTACACTCTGTTTCAGGAAATCACGAGGGAAGTCACACTTGACAGTAGGGTGTTTCAGTAGATAAATGTCATTCAGTGGAATTATTTCACAGTTCCCTTTTTCCCCCTTTCTTTGTTTTTTTTTTTTTTTTTTTTTTTTTATTGTCCATGCTTTTATTTTGCATTTCTTTCAGTAAGCTTTACTTCTCTCAATTACCCACTCCTGGTTGAATCCACTATACTGGTGTTATGTATAACCAATTAGGACTAAGCATTGCTCAGGTGGGACCAATGGCATGTGTGGGGGTGGGACAGATGGTCTGTTGACAGAGAGAAGAGCAGGTAAAACAAGATAGGGCAACAAAGAGCCAATCAAGTTCAAAGTTCAGAAGTAATGTGATTTCTTTTTACAGTTTTCCAACTTTCTAATTTTGGTATTGTTTGATACCAAGTGAATACAGGGCCAGTAACACCATTACCAAGTACTGATACTGACACTTTTAAGAAGTGAGTCACATGACAACAACAAAACACAGTAGAGCACAGGAGGAGCAAGCTGTGCATGTAAGTTGGGAGAACAGTAATGTTTGCAGAGACATGCAAAGACATGTCTGCTTACTGTGGAAATGGGAGGAATGTACAGAGCATAGGAGAGAGAATCTAAAACTGAAGTATCAGTACCCGCACTAGTATGGTATCAATATGACTGATATTTCGATTGGTCCACCTATTACTTAATTCTGGTAATCAATAAGTTATTGAGTGATTTGTATTACAACTTTATTTTTACTTCATCTGCATCTGTATCATCTGCAAATGTAATTATAATATTGGTAATAGAGATGGCACGATACCACTTTTTTATGTCCGATACCGATACCGATATCATAAATTTGGATATCTGCCGATACCGATATGAATCCGATATAGTGTTTTTTAATCAACAAAACTGTTTTTTAAAATATCTTGCTGCATTTTGCAAGTTCATACTCAAGTTTAAAACAACAACTACACTAAAGCTATTCTGTTATACCTGTATACAAAAAAAGTATTTCATAGTTCAGCAATACTGATCAATCTAATAAACTTAGACCTACACCATCCTCCCTATTCTGGTATTTTAAAGAGTACTTAGCGTAAATATTAAGCAACCTAACTAATAGGGTTCCAACTCCCAGCAACAACAAAAATAAATAAATAAAAAATAGGGAACCACCCCTCACGCTCCACCTCATGATGCTTAATCGACGTAATCAACCTTAATTTGATGCAGTGTGAAATGCACAGAAATCAATTATTTTTCAAGAAATATTAAATAGATTCAACATCTTTCTTCAACAAAATTGCAGACTGCACAGATGGTACCTTCCCAAAGGAAAAAGTACTATAGCTTACTAGGGTATATTATATTAGACTTAATAGTTACTATATACAGTAATGGACTTCTATTCATTTTACATCAAATTAAAACTTTGGGTGTCAGATAATTATTTATTAAAAGCTAGACATTTTAAATGAGAATAAGAAAGAAAAGTATGTCTTTGTGCCCCCTTTTCCCTGTTAATGCCCTATCGGCCCCCCTGGCTAAACTTTGCTAGATCCGCCCCTGCACAGTTACCAGCGTCAGCTACGTAGAAAAAGATCCTGGTGTAGAAAGTAATATTAAATAAATTCTAACAACAGCTTATCAAGCTTAAACGTGCTGCTGTTGTTCAGCCGCTGGTTTCCTCTTTCTGGTGCAAAGTGGGCCAAAAACAAACAAGAGAGACTCGCGACAGAAAAGCCGATCAGCTGATCATTAAGCAGTTTCATGATTGAAGTAGCAGCCGGAGAGCAAGAGGCAGTCGCTCGTTAAGCTTAACGCAGGAATGCTTTACAAACATTCAGAGATGGACTTACACACTTGCTTTACTTCTCTCGGGGATAACTTTGTCGGAGATGAAATGCCGGGTTGCTAGCGAAGCTCCAAATGCTATCCAGACCACCGACAGGTCCCGCATGCCACAGCCACTCTATCACGTGATGCATACTGCTCCGACGTGCTAACGTTCTGAGGTGAGTTACGGCGTATGTGAGGTGCTTTCGTGATATTTAATGGATCGGATTACATTTTTTATTTTTCTCCGATATCCGATCCAGTAATTTAGGTCAGTATCGGACCGATACCGATACGTAATATCGGATCGGTCCATCTCTAATTGAACATAAGCAAGAGTGCAGTACATCCTAATTGTTGTTCTTAAAGCAACAATAGCTAATTTCATGGTAGGAGGACAGGACCATTCAGCAGAGGGCAGAACCGTACACATTGCATCTGTAAGGCAAGTATACCAAATTCCAGATCAGTAGCATTAGCTCGCAAAAATAATACGCAGTTTTTAATCCTACTTTGCACAACATTTCTATGAGCATTCAAACTGCATATAGTTAACAGAGATGTCACCTAACTATTACACCAACTAATTCCTCTGATGACGCTGATAGGAGAGTGGGCTAGTGAGCAAATCTAATAACTAAGGTGATGTTTATGGTTTTACCTATATAGTTACCTGCACACAGTAGTTAGCGTTCAGTACACATGCTTTTTTGGATGTACACAGATCTATCTTTTCAAGTGTCCCCTGCACTTACAAAGACTTGTTTTTCTTTTTGTCAGCAAACTCATTATATGACTTCTTAATGGCTTCAGGGTACTGTGAAAATGGTAGTTGCTATGTCATTAGTGCAGTGTTGGGTAAGTTACTTTAAATTAGTAACTTAGTTACATTACTAGTTACTTCTATCAAAAGTAACTCAGTTACTTCAAGTTACTCGTTACTTTCAGAGTAACTAGTTACTAGGGAAAGTAACTTTGGTTTTACTCAGAATTCTCTTGTTAATGTGTTGCTTCCGTAACTGGATACCCAGCAAGTTTGCCAGTCTTCTAGCTTGCTTACTTGCCACAGAGATGGGCAGTAACTCATTACTTGTAACGCGTTACTGTAATCTGATTACTTTTTTCAAGTAACGAGTAAAGTAAGGGATTACTATTGCAAAACGGTAATTAGATTACCGTTACTTTCCCGTAGGAACGCTGCGTTACTGCGTTACTAAAACCGTGATTTTTTTGCGAGAATGTCTCACGACAGTGACGTAAGCGAGTGCGCCGTTAGTGACAACAGCTGTGTGCAGATCAACAATGGATCACATATCGATTGTGGGAGAGAGTATGAGCGTGCAGCGTTTAAAGCGTGGAAGTACTGACCTTACTTTGAGTTTGATTCCATAAAAAGTGACAAAAATTAGTGTCTTCAAGCAAGCACCGAGTGCGCAACGACGTAATGGGAAATTCACAGAGAAACTCGCGGATTCTTCAACTGACCGTGGCACACCTGCACCAGGGTAAACCTCCGCCTACCCCACTCCTGCTTTACAGGTGAAAATAGAGCAACAGGACCGCTGAGTCTTTGACTTTATTTATTTTCTGCTGTGTTTCACTTGCATCTATTTGAAAGACTGAGTGTAAACACAAAAAATATTTTATTTTATGTGCTGGAATGTGCAGAAAATAGGTTTAAATGTTAAACAAATTTCTTCCAGTCAGAGAATGTTGCATATAATTAAATTTTTGCTTGATGCATAAAGTTAAAAGATTAAAACTAATAAAACAAGTTTTAAAAAGAGACTTTTCCATTTGATTACATTTTGTATGATGGATTATGCAGAAAAAGTAGAATTGGGCTGAAAGATCTATCGCTTTATCACCTATTCAGGTTGTAAATCGTGTTTTTAAAAAGTAACTAAGTAACTAAGTAATTAATTACTTTTGAAAATAAGTAATCAGTAAAGTAACGGGATTACTTTTTTGGGGAAGTAATCAGTAATTAGTTACTGATTACTTTTTTCAAGTAACTTGACCAACACTTGCTTGCACAAGTGCACTGTGCCACCTACCAATAGAAAGGAAAAAATAATGTGCACATTTCCACGAGAGAAATCCCACGCCTGATTCTATCCTAGCCTGCTTTTTACATCCAACACAAAAACTGCAGTCGTGGTGCTTTCGATTGTACTCAGAACTCGGAAATTCTGCCTTCTGAATAGGAAGATGTAGGTAACACCAGACTGCAGATGAGCTGCATACAGGGCTGGACTGGGACAAAAAAATCGTCCCGGGCATTTTGACTAGAGACCGGCCCACCATTATAGGAAAAATCATAAAGCCTTTGAATGAAAATAAACACTGTTGTGACAGTGATGTACACTGTTCTGATGGTATATATGCATCAATCTATCAATCGTTTGTTGTAAGATTCAGATAATTATTTTTTAAAAGCGAGACATTTTAAATGAGAATAAGAAAGAAAAGTATTTCTTTGTGCCCCCCTCTCCCTGTTAATGCCCTACCTGGCCCCCTGGCAACACTTTGCTAGATCCGCCCCTGCACAGTTACCAGCTGTCAGCTACCTAAAAAAGGATCCTGGGGTTATTTGTCTCTCAGAAACAGTTCATAACTTCCCTTCAACTCATTCATGTCACCTAAAAGGTAAACCTGTTTCTCCATCACCTGTTCAGCTCTGATGATCCAGTAAGGACATCTCCTGGTTTCATCTTCATGTTTCCCTCTCACCAGATAACCAAACCATATCATGACCAGCAGCTTACAGCTGTGGCTCCAGCAAACATCAGCTGAATGTTAGCCAAGTCACTGTTTATTTTGCCACTGCCAAGTATTACCCTTATATAAGTTAAGTAAACCTTGTTAAAACGTTCCTTCCACCTCCACTCTGGGTTACTGCACTTTGGTTCAGTTCGAGTTACCAGCCTCAGGGCCCCTTTGACACATATTGTCTGTTCACAGCAAAAATCTTCCAAAGCATTAAATCTAAAAACAACTCCACACCTTTTATCTGCTTAACTGATAGTGACATGACGAATGAACTGCCCATGAGATAGCCTTTGAGTTAATTGTCAAATTACTTCTTGTCCTTTTAAAAAGAGGTTGGCACATGTTAGGAGCTCAA